CTCTGAATCCTTCAGGGGATATGAGGACGACGCCGCCGCCGCATGATTTTGCGGCCGACGAGCCGTCAGTGAACAGGGTCCACGTGTCGTCCGGCTCCGGTCCGGGGTTGGCGACGGCCGTCTCCCTTGCTGTGCATTCGATGACGAAGTCGGCCAAGGCTTGCCCTTTGATAGATGGCCTTGGCTTGATCTCAATCTGAAACTGGCTGAGGAAGATCGCCCATTTCACCATTCTCGAGGAGCTAGTGGGGCTCCTCATGAGCGCGCCAAGAGGCTGCTGGGTCAGCACGTGGATGGTGTGGGCTTGGAAATAGTGCCCCAGCTTCTTCACGGTGTGGACGATGGCCAACACCGTCTTCTCAATGGGGGAGTACCTGAGCTCAGCCTCCCTGAGTGTCTTGCTGATGTAGAAGATGGCCTTCTGCACCCCTTCGTCCTCACGGATGAGCACGGAGCTGATGGCCGACGTGCTCACCCCTAAGTACAAGAAGAGGGTTTCACCGGCTTTGGGCTTGGAGAGTACGGGTGGGGACGACAGGTACCTTTTCAATTCATCGAATGCTTCCTGGCACTCCGTCGTCCACTTGAAGCTGTTTGCCTTGCGCATGATCTGGAAGAAGGGAAGTGCCCTCTCAGCTGACCTGGAGAGGAACCGGTTCAAGGCCGCCAGGCGCCCCGTCAGTCGTTGTACCTCCTTGACGTTGCAGGGCGGCTCCATGTTGATGATAGCCTGCGTCTTCTCCGGGTTTATCTCGATGCCTCTCCGGCTGACCATGTAGCCAAGGAACTTGCCGCCCTGGACGCCGAAGGCGCACTTCTTGGGGTTAAGGCGGAGCCTGAACTCCTTCATGATTTCAAAGATTTCCCGGAGGTCGTCGGCGTGGGAGGTGGCCTGCCTGCTCTTGACGATCATGTCGTCGACGTACGCCTCCATCGTCCGGCCAAGGACCGCTCTGAAGATTTTGGCCACCATCCTAGTATAGGTGGCGCCGGAGTTTTTGAGTCCGAAGGCCATGACGAGGTAGCAAAATATTCCCTCTGGGGTCATGAATGCCGTCTTCTCGGCGTCATCTTCGTGCATGGAGATCTGGTGGTACCCTCTGAAAGCGTCGAGGAACGACATCAACTCGCACCCCGCCGTCTCGTCCACCAGCTGATCAATGTTGGGGAGAGGGAACGGGTCCATGGGACACGCCTTGTTTAGGTCAGTGTAGTCAACACACATTCTGAACGTCGGCGGTTTCTGTGCGAGGACGACGTTGGCCAACCATGTTGGGTACTTCACCTCTTTGATATGTTTGATCGATAGGAGCATGACGACCTCCCCTTTGACGAAGTCCCGCCTGTCAGCGGACAAGTAGCGCCGCTTCTGTTTGACGGGCGCGGAGGCCGGATCGACGGTCAGCCGGTGAGTGATCACCTGGCGGCTGATGCCGGGCATATCGTCCGGGCCCCATGCGAAGACAACGGCGTATGACCGTAGGACGAGGAGGATGGCGTCTCGCTGGTCCTGGGGGAGTTGCTTTCCGACCCTGAGAACCCGCTCCGCCCGGGAGGTATCCAGAGGGATTTCCTCGACCTCCTCGGCCGGCTCCGCATGTGGCCTCTCCTCGTCCATGGCGACGGCGGCCGTGATGGTGTCTATCCGCTGTCCTTCCTTTTCGGCCGGCCTCGTCAGCTTGAGGTAGCAAGCTCTGGCTATCCTCTGGTTTCCTCTGGCGTAGCCGATGCCGTCATTGGTGGGAAACTTCAAGCATAGGTGCTTCATGGAGATGATGGCCTCCAAGTCCTTCAGCGCTGGCCGGCCCAAGATCAGGTTGTGGGCGCACTGGAGGTTGACCACCATGAACTCCATGTCAATTTTGGCATGGTGGGGGCCGTCACCGACTTCCACGGGGAGGACTATCGTGCCCTCGGCGTCGATAGAGTCCCCGGTGAAGCCGGATAACGGGGTCTTGATCGGCTTCAGCAGAGCTCTGTCCAGCTTCAGCTGCTTGAAGGTGTCTAGGTACATCACGTTGACGGAGCTCCCCGTATCGATGTAAGTGCGGTGGATGATGGAGTCACCGATCTCACATCGGATGACGAGGGCGTCCCTGTGTGACTCCGTACCCGGAGGCAGATCCTTGTCGGTGAAGGTGATCGCTTCCGTTCGCTGCTTCTTCGGCTGGGGGGGAACGTGGGACACCTCTCCAATGTAAAGGGATTGGGCCCATTTCTTCCTCTGAGTGGCGGACTCCCCCCCAGTGTTCCCGCCTACGATGAGGTGGATGTGATTCTTCTTCGGCGGAGGCTCCTCGAAGTCCTCGTCGTCGCTGAGCCTACCAATCTCGCGCTTCTTCGCAGAGGGTTCGCCCCCACGTTTGCCGGTGTTTACCCAAGTGTTTTTACGTGGGCCACCTTTGACAAACTGGGAGAGTTCCCCCTGGTGAATAAGACGCTCGATGGCCTTCTTCAATGTGATGCAATCATCGGTGTTGTGCGACGAGTTCTTGTGGAACCGGCAGTACGTGCCGCCCTGCTGGATGGCCAGGATCTCCTCGGCAGGCCGAGGAGCCTGCTCGATGAGGCCGTGCTTTTCGGCATAATCGAGGATGGTGCCGACCGGGTGGGTGAGGGCTACCCCCGGCCGTTCCAGCCTCGGCCGCCAGTGGCGGTCTTTCTTACTTTGTCCACCAGAGCCGTGGCGGCCCTGGGCACCCTGGCCGGCCGGGGACGGACCCGAGGCCGGCGAAGGATTTGTCTTCTTGGGGGGATGGCCCCCCTCTCTCTTGTGATTGTGGAGCTCGTCGGCGTCGGCGTACAAGCCTCCGCGTTGGAGCGCCTTAGCGTACGACCTCGGGGGGTCAGTGATGAGGCTCCTGGCATACGGGGAGCTGCGGAGGGCTCCCTGGTACAAGGCGAGGAGGGTGCGCTCATCGGCCCCCTCGACCTCCTCGGTCTTCCTCGTCCACTGGTCGATGAATGACCGGAGGGACTCCTCGTGCTGCTGTTTGACGGAGAGGAGGTGGGTGAAATACTTCTTGGCGCGTTTCCTCCCGGCAAAGTGAGTGAGGAAGCGTTGGGCGAGATCTTGCCATGAGTCAATGCTTCCCTCTGGCAGTCCGTTGAACCACTCGTACGCCGGCCCCTCGAGAGTAGAGAGGAACCAATGGCAGAGGTATTCGTCGGACGCGTTCACCATCAGCATGTTGTTTTGATAGCGGCTGAAGTGCTCCTGGGGGTCTGATCGGCCATCGTAGGACTTGATGGCGTTCCCCCTGTACTTCTCAGGGATGGGGGCCGAGAGGACCCTGTTGGTGAAAGGGGTCCTAGTCCTGACCTGGATGATGGGGTCACCTCGCCCTTCGGCCAGCTCCCTCTCCAGGGCGTTGACTTTGTTCATGAGCGCGTTGAGGCCGGGGTCGTTGGAAGCGCCGGCCGTAGGGATGTTGGCCGACTGCTTGGCCTCCATCTGGGCCAACCTCCTTTCCAGCTGGGCAATGACCTCGTCCCGGGGGTCTCTGTCGGCCGCGGCGACACCCGGCTGGTTCCTCAGGCGCTCGTTGTGAGCCGCGTTGATCTGGTGGCGCACGTCATCCTCGTGCAACTTCCCCTTGCCTTTGTCCGGGCGGGGCTGGTCCGCTGTCCGGGACACAGACCCCAAGCTTTCTCTTGGCGAGCCAGGACGAGGATCACCAATCCGTCCCGCCATCCTCTCCGAAACCGGACGACGACGCGTGTCCCCTCGCCTATTGAAGGCAGAGGCTTTTCCACGCGCTGGGGTCTACCCGGGCCGAAGAGGGGAAGCAGGGTGGGAATGGGACGACGCTGTGTCCTGGGCCACAACCCCCTCATTGTTGCCTATCTGGACGGCCAACGGTTGGGGATGAGGAGGTGGGGTGACGTTTCCCCCGGTCCTTGGCAAAAGTGCGCTGAGGACGATGGGATTCTGAGCCAAGCTGGCGATGATAGCCGATAGTGCGGCCTGGACCTGAGGATCTACGGACGGAGAGGCCGCGGCCATAGGCTGGGCCGGGGCGTGGTCCGCTTTCTCAGCTCGTTTCTTTTCCAGGCCGAGGCGGGCGTCGGGGACTCCGCCGTTGAGTTGGTTGCGGAGGTCCGTTGTGAGGTTGAAGGCCTCCTGGAAGAGGTCCCCTCCGCCGACCTGGTCGGCTGTGGCGTCCTCATCGTGCTCCCTGGGCTCTTGGTCCTCAGGGATGACTTTGCTGACGAGGTTGCGGTTTGACTTAGTTCTCCCCATGCTCTTAACGAGAGCACCAAATGATAGAGTATATCTCCTAGATTCTAGAGAGAGGTGAGAGCTAGAGAGAGAAGTGCAATAATATGCTTCAATAGAATGAATTTGTCACCCCTATAACTACTCCCAAGGGGAGTATTTATAGAGAAAATTAGGGTTGGGCTCCCAAGCCTTGGGCTTGGGAGGCCCATTTACAACTGGACCGCTACTGGGCCGAATACAAAGCCTCTAATGGGCTGTACAAATGAGTAAGTATAGGACTTGATTCTGGGAGGTCTTCGAGGCCGACGAGGACGTGGCCGACGAGGGCGCGGCCGACGAGGGCACCCGAGTCCCTTAGACTCAGGACCGTAATCCGAGTTGGCACCTTTTCGGCCGACGGGGGCGTCATGGCCGACGAGGGCGCCACTCTGTTGTCTTGTGCTCCGTTCTTCCGAGTATGTGGGTCCTGGGGCTCAGACCCATATACTCCATCACTATTTATTTTACAATCAAAGCTTAGAATGTTAATTGTATCATTATTAATGGTAAAAAATATCAAATTATGAAATAAACACCCAAAATTAATATTTTTGAAAGCAATAATACATGACCATGGTGCTAAAATAACTTATTATATAAAGTTTGAAATATTTAAATTACATATGCAAGTTTGGGGTGCTTATCTCACATCCCATCAAAGTTTGAGGTAGTAATATTAAGAATAAAAATAAATTAAGAGTAAATAAAAAGCATAAAAAGACCACAATGGATCATCATAAACAACGGAAAAAACATCATTTAATTCATTTATCAAGAGTTACACGAAGACATAATAGACAGAATTAAACGTCAAGGAAGAGGCCGGCCAGTTGGAGCCTAACCTGTAATAAAGCTCTTCAAATAAATCGGCTGTATACAATTCGAACAGCCACAAACCAATATAATTAACAAACGATACACCTAATTAGAAAATATTTATCATCAGTGTGTATCGAATTGAATAAAAAACGATAGACGTTACAAACACAAAACAAGTAAAATTGATATTTGTATACGTATATGATAAAAAACATTTGTCATTGGTGCACTACAAAATAAAAAAACGGGATTGATAGAGATTTTTGCACACGCGGTTAAGTACGAAATTATGAGTCTATTCGTGTCAAATCCGTGTCAATCCCGTATTTTGTTTGTAGTGTAAATATTTTAATTAATGAGGTAGTTAATAAAAATCAATTGGTGAATGTTGTTGGAGAGACTTCCAACTCTGGAGCATAGGGGGAAGTGAAGGAAGACCAAGCATCCTCGGTGATGAACTGCATCCAAGAATCATCCTTATCTTCTCTGTTGTCATCTTCTTCTACGCAAGAAGATGATGTGAATGGTACATCTGGAGATGGGGTTTCGTACTCATTGGGGACCACTACTTGCGTTGATGAGTAGTCCTGTAATTGTAAGCGGCGAACCGAAGGCTGTGTTTGGTCTTCTATTTCACTGCATATTCCATTCTTCTTGAACACGCGGCATAATGCATATGAGTCCTGCCCACATCCATCCATGATCCATCAGTTCTATAATCATCACAATTGTTCATGATAATAATTACCGTTCTTAACACCTCATCGTTCCGTTTAATTAATCTCCAAATTTGATTTTTGAGTCAAACTAATTTTCAAAACTCACATTACTTTACTCAATTCTATATTTAGATATTTAAGGTCAAAAGTCCACACAAAGACCCTAAGATCGAATCGGGAAGAAGCAAACATATTTATTTATTGATTATAATTATTTCATCTTTGTTTTAGATTTATTTATTCAATAATGAGGTGGGGGATAGCCGTATTTATAGAAACCGAAGGAAGCTATAAAGCAATGTTTAGAAAATTGGACGAGGCCAGTCGGGTCAACCTAGTATGGATGGGTCCCTGCCCAAATGGAACTCGATTTGAAAGTATTTTTGGTTGAAGACCTTTTATATATTACCTCCGTCCCACTCAATTTTGCCAAGTTGATGTTAGATGTGAAATTAGAATAGTAAAATTTGTATGGTTGAAGTTTGTGTAGAGGAGAGAGAAATGAACAGAGCTACAAAAACATTATTTTAAAAGAAAAGTAACAAAGTTTTTTGGGACAAACAAAAATGGAAAGTTGGCAAAGTCCAGCGGGAGGGAGTATGTGATATGATGATTTGAGGCCACGTAATCCAACGTACCAAATCCCAGTGCTGACCCGAAGTCCGATTTTGAGAAATCGGCGTGCCAATCAGGCTGCGGTCTTTGATCGTTTCAGTGAAGATTGAATCTTCTGCTTTAAGAAAAAGTTTTTATTTTGCGGCCGCATCTGCTGACCACAAAAGCTAAGCTCCCACTATCATTTTCGGCACTCAATAATTGGGCTGTTTGCTTTGAACCCATACATACATACACTTAAAAGAACTAAACAAACATTCCAACTCCTGCTAGACACATATAGGTTTGAAGCTCAATGTAATGAGCTTTAGACCTGATTACTCCCAGCCCTGAGAGCCCTCAAAAAAACACTAGAAAAGAAGTAGCCTAGGAGACGGCTTCCATTCTAAAATGGTCACTTCAAGTTTGCTATACATGAATAAGGCTTTAATTTCTCTATCTCTTTTCAACTGAATAATTAAGTATTTTTTGCACCTTTAAAAGTCTTTCGTGATTTTGTCGTCTTTAGAGACCTTTTTTACTGTAAGAAATCAAACCTTTAGTTTGTATTACTAGCTAGTGTATTTTTAAATTAATCTCATTCTTCTTTTTTACTTTCTTAACGTACGTATACAGTCCGATGCTCCGTATGATAAAATAGTAATTAATTATATCGGACAATTAAAGAATAAGGACCTATCAAGCTAATTAGGGTGCGTATATTGTGCAACGGGTGCATGGTGAACCCATAGGATATTATTTTCTCTTTTTTTAAAAATGGTAATAACTTTTTTATTCTTGATTCGATTTTTATAAAATTTATATCAACATTTTTTATTTTTCATGATCTTTCAAATGAGACCAATATTGCCTATGTAATTCTAACATATTAAAATTTGCGTGTAAAATATGTAACTTTACGTGTTAAAATATGTAACTCACGTTCAGTCAGGCCAAATGCAACTCGTGTGTATAAATATGTATCTCTATGTCTAACAATATGTAACTTTACGTAAAAAATAATGTAACTCGCGTTCAGACAGGTCAAATGCAACTCGTGTGTATAAATATGTAACTCGCGTGTCTAAATATGTAACTTTACGTGTAAAAATATAGAACTTTACGTGTAAATATATGTAAGTCGCGTTCAGGCATGTCAAATGCAACTCGTGTGTATATATATGTAACTCACTTATAAAAAGATGTAACTTGCTTATAAAAAGATGTAACTCGCTCATAAAAAGATGTAACTCAATGTATTATCAAATTTAACTGAGGCCACTGATCCACTCCCAAACAGATTCGATCTTCTATTTCACAAACCTATCATCTCCCAAACAGATTCAATTTTCCTTATAATCCAATACTCATTAATATACTCCGTAATAGTTCGATAATTTATTAAAATTAAATAAGCAATATTGGTCTAATTCGAAAGATCTTGAAAAATAAAAAATGTTGATATAAATTTTATAAAAATCGGATCAAAAATAAAAAAATTATTATCATTTTTTAACAACAAAAATAAAAAAAAAACATGCTGCGTCGTTTTGCAACCGGGTGGACCATCCTCATGGTGCGCCGATTGCACGATATAATTTCCCAGCTAATTAAGTTAGCTATCACATCAAATGAATGAAATGATGTTGTTTAATTTGTTGTGTACTCCTGCTTTACATCAACGAACGAGTCAAATAGCATTATCTAGACCGCTACTCTCGACTATTAATTAACATTAAAGAGGTGCTGATTAAATATTCGGATAAATCTTTGTTTTCTTTTAGGCCTTGTTTGGTTGAAAGGAGGGGAGGGAAGGGGAGAGTCATGGAGGGGAGGGAAGGGAAGGGGAAGGAAGGATTTTGATAAAAATTTGTGTTTGGTTGAAGGAAATAGGAGGAAAGGTTTATTGAAAATATTTTCGTAATTTACTTTTATTTGATAGCTTACTTAAAAAATAGATACATGTCTAACTATTGTGAATATTACTCCTATGGTCATGAGTCATAATTTTATTTCATTTGATTTTTTACTTTTTTAATTTTATAATTTTTCATTTTTCAGTTTGGAATTTTTAATTTTTTATTTTTATTTTTTAAAATTTTTTAGTTTTAATTTTTAAAATTTTAATTTCTAATTTTAAAATTTTCATTTTTAAAATTTTTAATTTTTTTATTTTTAATTTTTTTAATCTTTAAAATTTTAAATTTTTAAATTTTTAAATTTTTAAATTTTTCAAAACTTTTTGTTTTTTTACCTTTTTATATTATAACGTTTTGTTCATTCACGTAGGAGATACAGTGACGGAACCAGCTTCGTGATCTTGGAGGGGCACATTATCTCAGATGGCTCGACTCTTTACTATCTTTAGAAATCTGTGTACAAAATCGATTCATATGAATTCTTTGTCAACCTTGAGCCTGACTATCACAACAACAAAAAATAACAAGCTCAGTTGAGTCCTAGTGGTCGCTAGACACCTCAAAAAAATAATGCTTTCGATCAGTCGCTAGATCTAATGGTCGCCAGCGTTATTCACTTATTCCGGCCTAATTCCGGGGAATTCCAAAGAAACTCTCTCAATGTAATCAACCCTCCAAGCTTCAACGTTAGTAGTCGAGCTCATAAATATATTACTCCCTTTGTTTTGTTAAGATTTTCTTACATTTTATTTTCAGTCTGCCTCATTAACATTGATCAATATCAAATTTGATTGTGGTTCTAAATTATTTTTACATTCAAAAGTTGATCATCGACCACCCTGTATAATATATATGTATAGAGTCATTCTCCTGTCCAACAGCTCCCAGTCCGAACGTCGTCCGAACAACACCGTTTGGGGAGGTTTCAGGTGGAATTTTTTCATGAAATATTTTGAACATGTTCCTCACCAAGTCTAGTTTATTCATACCAAATTTCATCTTAAAATTCGATCACGAAGGCAGTCAAACAATTTGTTGAAGTTAACAGCGCCAAATTATACATAGAAAAACGCAGTTAACTTCAAAAAATTATTTTACTGCCTTCCCGATCGAATTTTAAGCCGAAGTTTAGTACGGATAAACTAGACTTGATGAGGAACATGCTCAAAAAATTTCATCAAAAAGTTTCACTGGGAACTGCCCCAAACAGCGGTGTTCGGACGACGTTCGGACAGAAACGTGCTGGACCTGAAAATTTCTCTATATATATAATAAAAAGAAATCTGCAGAGCCGCAGGGGCACAAGCACCCCCAAACTCTAGTGTAGTTCCGCCCCTGAGGAGATGGATAGTTTGTGGTTATCAACACGTTTCCTGCGAAATATCCGATTTGGGGGGTTTAGAATGGGAGGAAGTGGAGGATTTTGAAAGCCTTCCACTTTCCTCCCCTTCCTCCCTATTTCCTTCAACCAAACACACACATCCTCCACTTTCCTTCCTTCTCCTCTGAAACCCTCCAACCAAACAGGACCTTAAATGAAGTGAAGGCCGTTGGGGTGAACAAAATTGATAAGTGACCATTGGGATTCATATATTTGACCAAAGTAGATTTTAACTTTTAAGTTCAGTTAATGATAGTGTACATTTTCAAATCATAACGATGACCGAGAAAATAGCACGAAAAACTATTAGAACTGCTTCTTTGAAGGTTTGGTAGCATAAAAATGGATAATTTTTTTTAAAACAGGACTTGATTTATTTTTATTTTAAAAATAAAACACCTTTAAATTTAGTAAAATTGTAAAAGTGTATAAAATGCTTAAAATCTCTAATAAGGGAATAGATTAATGTAGCTAGGAACACGAAACAAACTCTTCAAAATAGAGTATATTGTTATTCATCGTCGTTACAAATAGAATTATTGTTTCCTGTTTAGAAATAAAAATTTATTAATTAGATATTGTAGGGCAAGATGGACAGCATTTTTTTTTAGGTAAATTAAAGTTGCCACGTGTTGGCTTCCCCGATTTCATAGAATAAAGTGAAAAAGCAGTGGACACACTTCTTACAAAAACTACAGGAAAGTGATTGAGATCTGAATAACATAAACATATAACACGTGGACGGGGAGTCTATGATCAAACAATTTACTACCTCCATCCCTTAAAACTTTGCCAACGGTACAGAAAATAATAAAGTAAAAATTGTGTGGTTGAAGTTTGTGCAGAGGAGAGAAAAATAACATAAACCACAACCACAAAATAATTGATTAAAAGGGAAAGTGACAAAGTTTTTTGGGACATCCCAAAAAGGAAAGATGACAAAGTTTTAAGGAGCGGAAGCAGTATAACCGTAGACATCACCAATTAAACAAAAAAGAGTAAAGAATTAAGTATATATATATATATATATATATATATATATATATATATATATATATATATATATATATATATATATATATATATATATATATATATATATATATATATAGTGACCTTATCTTGGAGGTATATAAACTAATCACACATATGGATGACGTACTTGCATAGGTGGGTAGCTAGGTGGGTGAGCGCGGGTAGGAATGTAGGATTATGAGGAGGTCAGTGGTTCTTTTCTTCATAATACCTCCCTAAGAAAGTGAGTGCAAATATTGTATAACGGAAATTTATGTAAAGGGAAGAGAAATGACAAAACCACAAACTAGTTACTCTGATTAAGAAAGTGACAAACTTTCAAGATAACAAAGTTGGCATAGTCCAATGTGACCAAGTTAGCGGATCAAGAAAATAGAGTATATGAAAAGTGAACAAGGCAATTCCTTGTTTATTACATACTCAAGAGATCACACTCCTATCCAAGCAAGGAATATATGTTGCCCCCCGGTATATTCAATTATTTGTATTATAGTATCACCATTATATATATGATTCATCCCACTGTTACTTCGGAAGCATAAAACATACTCGTATTTGTTAAAGTAAAGAAAGATACAAAGAAAGAAAGCAAAACAAAGTAAATGTGAAAGAATGCCACAAAAGGGACAAAAACATTATCTTTCCATGCATGCACAGCATGCAGCAGTACAGTTCACGTTCACTTTTTCATCATATTGTTCTCTCGATTTAAACTTGCTTTAGTCATGTTCATATTGGCAGAATCAAACTTTCATCTTAAACAAAACTCTTTTCTTCAATAATTGGTTATCACGATAAGTGATTTAACTTAAAAGATGGTAAATACAAATTAAATAAGCTTTTCAATATAGATCAGTGATCAGATCAAATGAAGTTTGTTTTTATGTGTAATGTGTTATTTATCAATATTCTTTTATATGCACGGACGCCCTTCTCGAAAATCAGAACTTCATGATGGGCAATATATACAAGGTTTTTTATGCATGGAATAGTCTTTCTCAGTGATCCAAGGTGCGTTTGTATGCATGTGTTGGGGGGTATTTTTCAAATATTTATTCTCCGATCATTTCTTTTTCCCAGGCTGGAAATAATGATGAATCCCATTTGTTTTTCTTTTCTGATAACTTGAGAGCAGTATTAAAGGGATCTCACACATACAACGGGGGCACATGGTACAGAATAGTGGATCTGATCTATTAAATATGCTTTTTATCGATCTATCTCCCTTAGCTTTATTTAGGAGTAAAAGAGGAAGAGAAAAATGAGGGAATAATTGCTTTTCCAATAAAATTCCGGGTGTGGATGTTCCATTCTTTCCAACCCGGTCTTTACATAACCAATATTGGATTACATATGTCAAGAGATTTTGAAGAAGAAAAACTAAATAAAAGGGCTCAAGCATCGTGACACCAAGAAAAAGGATCAGGTGATTTAATAGCTAATTAAACTAGGGTTAGGCACACTAATCTCGCTATATATAATACTATCCTCCGTTTTTTTTAATTGCAACATGTTGACTTTTTGCACTGTTCACATAATCTAGTTTGACTACGTACATTTTACACTATTATTTTATGGAAATTATTTTTTTAAAAAAATATTTTTCAATTCATCTCATTACAAATTTTCAAAATCTGATTTTTAATATTTTTTATTAATAGAGATTAAGATATACTTACGGTCAAATGTGTGCGTTGGCAAATGTGCCAAAGTTGATTGTTGCAACTAAAAAATAACGGAGGAAGTATATCCTATCCAAGTCTAACTTTCGAGTATTAAACAATTACACACTTCAATTCGTACACTCTCAAGGGAATTCCATTTCTATATAGCAACTCCTATTAAATAATTATTTAGTGTGACACATTGGTCTTAGCATGAGCAATTCAAACATGACAAAAATGGTACTTTATTGACCAATTATTTTATTTAACGTGTTCATGCAAAGTTTAATAATTATATACCTTTATGATATTATTTTTGTCAATAAACGTTTTCATATTTTTGTCGTATTAAATATATAATCGATCAAAGTTAAACGTCATTAACTTCAAAAGTCAAATGACTAACTAAAACGGGACGTTTGAAAGAGTATACATTTCAATAAAATTAATTTCATTAGAACAAAATTTTATTTACCCCTCGATCAATATATAGAAAGAGTATTTAAGAAAGTCAAAGTGGAATCTTTATATAGTTCTACCTCCGAATTAATATTGCAAAATATAAATTAAAATTTAATTGAGAATTGATATTTTAATTAAGTAAATAAAATATGTCTATTTGATACAAAAAGTCAATATTGCATACAAAAACTGGATGATAGAATAGGATTAAAGAGAGAATACGAACCACCTGAATGCCAGCGGAGGTCTCTTCGAAGTCTTTATCATCAAGCCGATACTCGTGCATTACCCAATCGGTTCTAATGCCCTGAGGAGCTCTTCCACGGTAATAAACTAATGTTTTCTTCATTCCGATTGGCCGGTTTTGTGACATCACTCGCCGGTCTTTTCCCGTCGATTTCCAATAACCGGCTCGGGTGGCTCTGTTCGTTCTGAAACCGTTCGGGTATTTCCTGTCCCTTGGCCCGAAGAAGTACCACTCCGGATCTCTACTCGGCAAAAACGATTTCTCTAAATACATCAAGAAAAATGAAATTATAGAAACACCATCGTGGTGAATATGTAATTACTCCCATTTAGGAGAAAAAAACTTAATAGTCCTATTTTAAAATACATAGAACGTTTTTAATCTTATTTCAAGCAATTTCCCTTAATTTCCCTTAATTAATTTGTAAAGCGCTATCATATTTGATACTACAAACTTCATTTGATCTGATCAAATATGTGTCTTTAAAATATGTTTGTTCAGATAATGCACATTTGTTTGTTCCCTTAATTTCCCTCAATTAATTTGTAAAGCGCTATCAAGAATATTATTTGTTTAGATCAATTGCATTATTCAATGTCTTTAAGTTTGTTCAGATAATGCACTTTTCATTTTTGTAAAATATGTGTTTTCATAAAAACACTCGATGACAATTATATAAGTAATTGAACTTTTTTACAAACGTGAAAAAGCGCATTACCTGAACAAAAAGTGCATCGTAACGCAGCAAAACCCTTTTATTTGATCCGCCCCATTCTTACATGTGTGTGTAATGTAATCAATAGTTATCTTATTTTATCTATTAATTTGGCACCGTATTCAAAATTATAGAATGATTAAATAGATCTTATAAAAAATCAGTTTAAGAGAATTTACATTTAATCCTTAATCTTGGTACTAAATTAAATATTCCAACATGAAAAGTAGCTTATCATCAATTCAACCACATATATAATTCAACAACATGATAAAAACTATCTCTAACAATATACTCTGGCCCTTAAACGTTTGTCGAGTTTAATTTTCTGGTCAAAGTATTTATGTTCAACGATGTTATCACATTTTTTAAGAACCAATATATTAAAAAATACTTTCACATCGTAAATCATTAACATAAACTATCAGTTAAAGTACAAACAAAAGTAGTCAAACATTGGTTAAACAAGTCTAGTGTTAAAATTTTTTAAAGAAATGCTTTTAATTAAGGTATATTTATACTTCGATCCTTTCTTTTTTAGTTGTAACATTGCACTTTGCATATTTTCCAATGCACACATTTTACTTTCAATATATATATCTTATTCTCGGTTAGTAAAATAAAATTAAAATCAGATTTTAAAAATTTGTAGGGAGACGAATTGAATAATATTTTTTTTAAAATATTCTTATAAATTAATAAATAAAATATAATCAACGTAAAAAATGTAAATAATGTAAAATTCAAGATATTACAACTAAAAAGTAAAAATATGAGAGATATAATGCAAAAGCGTATATATTGTATTTGGAATTTCATGATTCATGCTTGCCTTCTTCCAATGGGAAAAACTCAAAAGCGAGAAACAAAAAAGGAAAGGAGGATGAATAAGAGCAAGTCGGAAATGTACGAACTGTAGTAATAATTAATTAAGAATTGATTGATGTATGGATTAAATTAAGAACCTGCTAATTCCCAAGGCTCACACTTGTAGAGATCAACTTCAGGAATAATGTCAAGCTCAATCTGGAGGCCATGAATCTTCCTCTTAAGGTAATAGTTGACCAGCTCTTCATCCGTCGGATGGAACCGGAATCCCGGAGGCAATCCGACGGGCGACATTTCGATCTCCGATGATCGACCTTTCAATATGAGTCGATCGCTATATATGTATGTATGTGTGTTGGCGGAGAGCGCCGGACGGGCAGTCCTCCACGGCGGTGCGCGACCTCGATAATGTATGACCGATCAGACTGTAACAGTAGCACCCTCCGGCATTGTAATGGAAGTTGAGCAGAAATGATGGCAATTTATCTGTGAGCGTAAAGCAGTTCAAAGTCCTTTGTCTTTGAGTCATTTTTTGCTTTTTTACCCTTTTGTGGATTCTCTCAAACAAACGTTTCTCTCAAGCACATCTCCTCCTTGTCCATCTTCTATCGTATCCTACTTCACCACTGTTACGTTTTAACTACATTTTCATGCTCAACATTATAACATACGGAGAACTATGTACCTAGTACTCGGTAGTATAATATACGTATGTTTTATACTGTATGTACTAGCCGTAGTATATGTATATAAGTTCGTAGTATTGATAATTATCCTTCTGTCTCATCATTTTACTTGTCTTACTTTTTTTAGATTATTCAAAAATAAGTGATTCACAAGATTTCCTTTAATATACTCAAATCTCAATGACAACTTTTACCATTTCAATCACTTTATTAAAAATTGTGTCAAAATTAAATGAGATGCACCAAATGGGAGGTAGTACTACTCAATGTATAGTTAATAAATCACTCTCTCTGTGCTTTTTAAATGGGACAGAGGTAGTGCTTTCAACCACTTTGACTTTCAAGCCGATAAAACTAAATTTTAATTGATAATATGAAAAAAATCTTTGTTAAAATGTAAAAATGTTGATTGTCAAAAATATTATCATAGAAGTATAAATTTTATAAGCTACGACTAAAACTAAATTTATACTGAAAAAGTTAAAGATGACCAACTAAAACTTGCATCTTTTTGTGAACATTGTGTGATCTTATTTTCAAATTCACAAATCAAGACTCTTATTTTATAAAACTTTGATATGGCAATTCATACAGTGGATCAAAAAGGGTGTGTTTGCTAACGGCATTTCAACTGAAAAATTACGGTTTGACCACTTTCACCATTTTCAATACGTGAAAAAAACTGGTTGCTAAATAGCGGGTTGACACTACATTTTTTGGACAAAAACGCTGACATGAAAACGTTGTTAATATAAGAGTTTTGGATTGACGTTATGAAAATTAAATGATGTTTTCTACTAATTTTATGATAAAACAGCTAAATTACCAAACATATTCTAATAACCCGCAAATTTATTCTGCCAGTCAAAATCCGATGACTGAATGAGCTATTGACAATCCGTTAATATATTCCGCTATCCACTAATCGCTGAATTGTTCGCCCAAAGTCTTTAACACTAAGATTTAAAGTTGAGTATATATGTATAAATTTAACTATATAAACGGAATATTCAACTTTTCTACAATTGATCTTACAAAGCACAAACTATAAATTAATTTGGTTAATTTGAGATGAAGAAAGCACACTGTTAACAAATGCGGAGTAATTTTTAAACAAATTTGCGTCCTTCTCCGGCGTGATCTTCTCCTCCAACTTTGCGTCCCCAAGTCGGGCCTCTATGCCATATTCTCTTTTCCAGAGTTTTCCTCCGGCGTTTCCTTGGTCGGCCTCGACTCCGGTGCAAGCAGTTCCGCTCGAACCACCACCCCTCTCCACCACCGGCTTCGCCGGTACCACTTTTGTCGGCTCACTCGGTGTTTCCTCCACGCTTCATCCTCTTCGTGGACCTGCTGCCAGCCCGCCAGCTTCTCCTTTGGCCGAGCTCGCTCTCACCATATCGCATGTCGCAACAAACGTCACGAATATCGTGACTACAAAACATTTGGCTGTAGAAGACTACACCACTTGGAGGACTCAGTTTGAATCGTTTCTGGTCTCACAAGGACTCCTTGGCATGATTGATGGCTCAATTCAGGTACTCCCTACTTATTCCATAGATGCTCTTAACCGTCCCACTCTCAATCCCGAATTTTCTACTTGGTTGAGAATTAATCAAACAATCCGTTCATGGTTATTTGCAACCCTATCTAAGGATGTTCTTATCGATGTACGTGATTTAAAACATTCCTATGAAATTTGGGAGCGGTTAGAGTCACGGTTTATGTCTGCTAGTTTAGCCAGATCTATGGAATTAAAGCGCTTATTTAATCAAATTAAAATGAAACCTGATTAGTCAATGGATAATTATTTGCGAGAAATTAAAACATTAGCTGATGATCTTGCCACAATCAATTGCCCTGTGCCTCCTCGTGAAATTTTAAAAACTACTATTATGGGACTGGGACCTGAATATGAATCTTTATTCAAATCTGTGTCATTATTTGGACAAATTTTCCCATTTGAAACTCTCCGTAATCATCTTCTGGATTTAGAACAACGAGTTCTTTATCTACGCTCCCAGGAGTCCTCGTCCATTCATCAGGCTTTCGGAGATGCTGTCACTGTTCCCGGACAGTCTACTGGCCAACAGGTGGGCCAGCAGCAGTCGGGCTCACACTACCCGGTCGGGCAGACACAACACCCGGTCGGGTCCCAACGGCAGCAAGGCTCCCAGCAGAGAGGCAGAGGCCGCGGTCGCGGGCGAGGCCGCGGTGGCAGGGGCCGGGGTCGCTGACGTGCCCTTGCCGTGAGGTGCACTCAAAATAATTACAATACAACGATTATACGTAGTATGACGAAGTAAGGTTCGTATCCACAGGGAAAGGAATACTTTTCTTCTATATACGTAGTAACAAGGGGGGTTTAGATTTGTTTGATTTAAAAATACTAAGATGAACAACCTATATGAGTTTTATTAATAGATGTGGTGGCTTGGTTTTGCTTTTATCCGCTTAATGAAATGTTCGTCGATCCCGGTTATATCTTTAACTATCTTCCTCTCGAATACTCAATCGATGAGTATATCCAATTCATCGAGGGTAGTTATTAATAACGAGATGCGTTCATTAATAAAACTTACTATCGAGTCAATATAGAACAAGCGCCGTATATTAACTTGATAGTAGCAATAAACTTAAGATGAAAACGATTGAGATTGATAACCTCAACACAAGCGGTTTATTGGTTTAATCAACATAATTAATTCCCCTTGGCATATTAACCATGTGATGCATGCATTAGTAATCCAAGTTTACTACCGTTGAAAGAACCGGATTAATAACAAGCGTATTAACCGATTGATTCTAGTAATAATTAATATGAGAAACAAAACTAGTTGATACTTTAAGTAATGTTTAAACTATTAACATGAAATATGAATAGGAATTATTTAATACTCAAGGAAGAATATTAAATAATATGAATCCTACTATGATTAATATCAAGATGTTAACTAATTGTCATCTTAGTAACATTCCCCAATATTAACATAGAGGAAGAAATAACTATTACTATAACCAATGTCAAGATGTTAACTAATTTTCATCTTAGTAACACTCCCCAACTTTGATATAGAAATAGTATTTTAAAGGAAGAATTAATATTCAAGGAAGAAGATTAAAGAAAATAACTCACAACTTACAAATTCATTAAGCTTCAAAGTAGCAAAACCAAGATGGAAGAGTTTAGCTCCTCATTTGGAGACTAAACATGATGAAAAATATAAAGAAAGAACCATTCTATACTGAGCTTAGATGTACAAAGGAATTGGATGATCATTTGTGAAGGAAAGGGGGTGTATTTATAGCCTTTTGGGATGGGATTCGGGTACTCGATCGGGTATATACATGGTACCCGATCGAGTATGTGTGTAATACCAGATTCGAGGTATACTCGATCGGTTTTAGGCTATGTTCCAAAGGTAAACCCGATCGGGTATATGTTTATACTCGGTCGAGTATGTATAGAAAGTGATATTCGAGCCATACTCGACCGATTTTACGTTTAAACTCAAAGGCATACCCGATCGGGTATGTCGGTCTACTCGATCGGGTATAGACACTCAATCGTGGCCAAAATCTTCCCGGCATGTTCCCTTGTCTTCGGATCTGATCCGATTTGAAGTTTCAACCTAATACCCGATCGAGTATAGGTGATACTCGACCGAGTATAGACCAAAATTTCAGGATCCTTCTTTCTTTTTTATTTTTGCACCTTCCTTCCACTTTTGGAGTTCACCAATTGTCCTTTGAGTGATCAAGACCTGTTTGAGCTCAGAATATACCTAATCTAAACTATTTACAAGAATTTAACAAACTAAACTATTACACCAAAAGTGTGTAATTTCCAAAGTAAAAATCAAGCAAAATTAATTAAAAATGCAAACATATACATGGAAATTACAAACGTATCAACTCCCCCACACTTAGTTTCTTTACTCGTCCTCGAGTAAAATCAAATGTTCACAAGTGTCAAGTCTTTCCAAAGTTTCCACAGTTTAAAAAACATACAAACACAAAGACCACCAAGGATAACAAAAATGAGTTTTAAGCTCAATTTACAAAGAACATCTTGGGTTTTACGACCTTCTAGTGTTCATCTTCTCTTCTCCTCCTCTCTTCTTCTTCTTCTTCTTCTTCTTCTTCTTCTTCTTCTTCTTCTTCGTCTTCTTCTTCTTCTTTGTTTTCTGAATCTTCTTATTCTTCAAAGAGATACAATGAGTGCATGCAAAAACATACATTTCTCTCATATCTCTCATTTTGCTTAGGAGCCTTTCCAGGTTTTCATCCTAGCATCTCTTTTCATTTTCCATTCTTCCCAACTCACTCATCATTTTTTATAAGCCTTTTTTGCTTAGATTGCCCATTTTGTTGGGTTTTCAACCTAACCAGCATTTCTTTTCTTTTATTTATTCTCTCTTTTTTGTGTGTGAAAAAAGGGTCAAAAGAATTACATGCATAGTGCGAGGTGGAAATTAAAATTACATACCATGATGAGTCTCTCCCCCGCACTTGAACCAAGCACTGTCCCTAGTGCCCGCCTTCTCCGCCGTAGTAGCTGCCTCCGAAGCCGCTCCCCTGCCCGCCATCTCCCATGTATGTGTCCCTGCCATCTCCGCCATCGTACCCTCCAGCCCCGGAGCTAGATCCTCCAAAGTTACCCCAATGAGTGAGGTCATACCACGAGGGTGGTGGAGGGGGGTTCGCCAATCGCCATGGTATGAAAAGATCCCTGCTGTGCCATGTAAGAGTACATAGGTCCTTAGAACCTACTTCATACCGATGCCTAT